GTTTTGCCTCGTAAACTCACTACTCCTAGCGTCAAAGTAATATTCCGGCTATTTTCTTAGCTTATATATCGCTTGGGTCGTGAACAATTCGAATGAATATATGTTTATCATGACAACTTTTTATTACACCTAAGCTCTCCGTATGATTCCAAAAATAGTATACAACAATAACCGTGGGAAATAGGCAGCTATGGGGGGCATTTTGGGCGTTTCCGCGCGCTTTAGAATGGGTTTGCGCGTTTCTTGTCAAATTCGGTCATGGCTGACTTATTAAACAAGAAACGTAAAGACTTCACGCGCTCTGAAGCTGTATTTTTATTACGGTCGAGTAGAGGAGGAGCAGATGACAGTGGCGGAACGTTGGTTGCGTTGTGTCTGAAAGGAAATATACAAATCAAACGCTTAGCATGTTTTCAAAAAGTTAAATAACCCGGTGATATAATAAAATATACGTTTTGCTGCAGATATGGTTTTTTAAATATATTTTTTGGAATTTTTTTCAAATATTGGACGTATGCCGCGGAAAATATTAGGCTCCTTTCTAATAGGTATTTGATGAAATGATGTGAATTTGACTGCGTACTGACGTCATAGTAACAAAACTGAGATATTTTGATTTGATTTCACTCGTGGTCACTCGTGGTCATTCGTAGTCACTCGTAAGTACTTTTAGACCCTATCAAACAACAGTACTGGTGTGACAAACAAATACGAGTTAAGTGATCATGCGACGATTTTCTCGTAAAAAGAAAACAGTTAGAGATCTTACGGAAAGTATTTTTTATTTCCAACGACGATTAATATTCGAAGATTTACCTCTGTTCTGTTTTTAAATGTCACGGAAAGTCAAATTGTAAGTGAATGGAAATATGTGTTTTGGAGTTGCCAGTCTGCTTGTTTGTTTTCTATAATGGCGTGTGTAAATCGGTTTTTCTTTCACCGAAAAGCTGAAGTCGATGTGACTCTTTCTACCTAGACACAAGGGGATTTAATGCGACTTTTATACATCGAATTCCTGCGTTTCTGCTCTGAAATTTACGACGAAAGTGTATTTTAAGATTTTGAACTGCTGCTGAATAAAATTCTTTCGTTGTTAGCCTAAACTTATAAAATCGTTTATATTTGGCGCATGTCAAACCCATTTGTAGCTTAAAGGTCAAACAGGGATTGTCACTCACTAAATTGGCTCGCCATCAAGTCTTGTGATCGCCTTCGTTTTACTAGTCCGCGTTTTACTTGTCCGCGTTTTACTAGTCCGCGCTTTACTGGTCAGCGCTTTACTAGTCCGCGTTTTACCAGTCCGCCTTCTACTAGTCTGCGTTTTACTAGTCCGCGTTTTACTAGTCCGCGTTTTACTAGTCCTCGTTTTACTAGTCCGCGTTTTATTAGTCCGTGTTTTACTAGTCCGTGTTTTACTAGTCTGCGTTTTACTAGTCCGCGCTTTAGTAGTCCGCGTTTTACTAGTCCACGTTTTACTAGTCTAGTCCAGTCCAGTCCAGTCCAGTCATCGAAATACCATATGCCTCACTTTAAAGCAAGTGAACCCATCAAAATTCATGACTGTTGACACAAGTAAAACTACGATCTAATGGAAGGGCACTCAGCACATGTTTTCAACACTCAACATAACCAAATTACTAAATAATTCCAGCATCAGGACCTTTATTTTGATAAACAAGTTTCGTTGCGGCAATTCCTTATCTAATAACAAAGCGTAGTGAACGGCTCAATTTTTCGGTGTTTGTTACGGGGTGAAATATTGAACTTTGTCTAGACAAACTGTCGCACTTCTTCATTTACAGTCATGTAAAA